CCTTGGCGGGGAGGTGAGTCCGTGTCCCTCCCCACCGCTCTCAGCTGAGGAGGGGGCAGGCCTCGGCCCCGCTGAGCGGGGCCCGGGGCTGCTTCGGCAGCCTCTGCTCAGCGTCCCCTTGTGTCTGCCTCGGTACAGACCTGCGACCTCGCTCCCTTCCTGCTTTCTTATCACCTGTCCCCTGTGTCAGCCGATTCATCCCCAGGGGCCTCTCTTTTCAAGGGAGGCTTGTCTCTTTCCTTGGTGGGGTTTGTCCTACGATCCCCGTGGGACATCGAAAGGGCTGGGCCAGGCCCGTCGCTCCCTTTTGCCATCAGGTGCATGTGAGGGGACCCCCGGTAATTGTGGGACCGTCTTTCTGTCCCTCCCTCGTCTGCGTCTCTGGACTGTGTCCACCGGGCTCTGTGATGTCGCCAGAGGCCTGGTCATCCTTGGTGGCAGTCCTGCGACTAGGTGATTCTTGGCTTACTGACGGGTCTTCAGGTGACTTCAGAGTCCAATTCTTGACCTGCAGATGCACGTGCAGTAGTTGCAGGACTGTCCATGGGGGGGAGAGTAATTTGTAGGGCAAGAGCCCTTTTTTCCTTTCTCTTCTCTCCTCTGCTTTGAGGGCAAGGTGCTTTACCACGAAACTTTGGCAACCAGCCTGCATACCCAATAGTACTGTGTCCCACAGGGGCTGAGAGCAGAGTATGACTTTTTTATTCTGAAACAGACTTTATTAAGGGAGGGCTGGAGTCAAAACCTCTCGGAGTAAGAGGAGGATGCAGTCACTGCTCTTTGGCCTTAGTGTGAATGATTAGTCACAGCAGCTTTTGCGCTTGGACACACATCTGTTGCAGACTGAGCTTAAGATTGTTACGCTGGCTTTGATGGGCCATTGGCAAATAACAACGTTTAGCTACCACAGTCCTGGGCTGGATTTGACTTTGTAGTCTAGAAGATTTTTATTTCTGGTCCCATGATGCAGCCAGCCCCAACCCCCACCCCCCCGTGTATGTTTTCTCTGCTGTGCTTCCACCAGCCTCTCTCTTCTGTGTTTGTTCTTTGTCATATGAAAGAGTCTAGCAAAGGACTGAATAACTTGGGGAAATAAAGGAAGTTTCAAAATACGAGATGTGTAGCTGGTAATATGTAAGTGCTAGTATTGTTTTTAGGGCAGGCTCATTTGTTAAATGCAAGTGCTGCATAACTTTAGGCATTTCTTACTTTGTAAACCTTTTGTCACTTTAGTAATGGAGGCTCCATATGATGGCACCGAAGTGACTGTAGTAATGGAGGAAATAGAGGGTACCTACACCTATGCATCTCCAGTGCCATCGAAGAAGAAAAAGAAATACAGAAGTCCTGGAGACCAGGGGGAAAAGGCCAAAAAACCTAGGTGAGTTCCTTTCTGTCTTCCTCTGTCAGTTTCCATTTGTGGCTGTTTTCAAGTGTCTGAGCGGGATTCCATTTCTTTAGTATAAGTTGCCTCTGCAGTATACTTTGGCTTGTACATCACTCGGAACACGTCAAGGCAAGTGTGATGCGCATGCTTTTCTGATCAGTGCTATTGCATGACCGGCACTCACCATAATTTGCAGTTCTGTAGCTACAGTATTGCAGTAGATGCTGTCCCCTTGCTACAGAATGACTTGCTAGAATCTAGACCGGTGGTTCTCAACCTTTTTGGACTTGGAGCACCTCTCACTGGACTTGAGGCACCTCTCCAGTACTTTTCTGAATTGAGTGGCATCCAATTTCAAAAATTGTTTTATAGATTATAATGCTTACCTCCTTGCAGAGGGATCTGGGGCAGGAGTGGGAGATCATCAAGGCAGGGATGAGCCTGAGCCTGCTCTTATCTGCTTAGTTTATTTGGTTATCTACTCGTACCTTGCAGCACCCTTCAAAAGGTCTGGCCATGCACCCTAGTTGAAAATCACTGATCTAGATTTTAACCTTAGAGGAGATTATGATTATGATTGCTATTGCCTGCAAGAATGTGTACTAGATTAATGTGTATCCACAAGATGAACAATAAACTTCAGGACTCAAATATGCTTCAGATTTCAGTGAATTACTTATTTTGCTCATTCTCCTCACCCCCCCAATACACTCTTTTGCTTATGGAAAGGCTAAACTATTATAGTGGTCTCATAATTGGCCCTGAGGCTAGCATAAAACTGGTGGCTTTATTTTACATTTGATCTTGAGAGAAACTTGCAGTATTACCTTCTGTTTCAGATCAGCTTACCTTCTCTACTACTATGATATCTACTTGAAAGTACAACAGGAGCTTCCCCATCTACCACAATCTGAAATCAACAAGAAGATCAGTGAGAGCTGGAGGCTGCTCAGTGTAGCTGAAAAAAGCTACTACTTGGAGAAGGCCAAACTAGAGAAAGAAGGACTGGATCCAGTAAGTCACGTTTCTTACCTATCCTGACCTTGCCTGCCCTTCTTTACTGTATGAATTATAACTTCCTGTCCAATTTGTTTTTTTCCTGAAGAGTATGGTGAGTAAAATACTAGGAAAAATCATGACCTATAAGCTACTTTTGTCTTGGTGCAGATTTGATGTGCATCTCTAATTGATCCCAGCGTGTTCAGAGGTAGCTGGGCTAGCCTCTTCCTTAGGATTAAAAAGCATCCCTATTTCTTTAAACTTTAATGTGTCTTGAGTACAGTGATATCTGATTATAATAGACTAAGTCATGATATAATACAGCAGGATGTAACATGATCTAGCTTCCTAGGTGCTGCATTTTATCAGAAGCAGATTAGCCATGTGCATGAGGTGAATACTGTAAGATAACTGCCTTTTGGCAGTGCATACCATGGCTGTATGGGAGAGTCCCTTCTTTATAAATACCAGGCTAATCTTGATGGGGTTAGGCTTGTTGTGAAAGGTAGTGTGCTTGGGAGTGTGAAGAAGGGAATTTATTTTGTTGCCCAATCTTTGTCCAGCCAAGGAGCATTACTAGTAGGCTTCAAACAGATTCTGCCCAGTACTAACTCATCAGAAGCATAGTGAACTTTTTTGTAAGGGCTGGTAAAGAGTAGGGTTAAAATAGGACTAAAAATCGAGGATGGGGTTTTGGAGGCTCTGTCAAATGTGGAGGAATCTTCAGAGTGTCTTTAGAAGCCTGTTGAGTCCTGATGGATGCACTAAATGTCCCCTCTCCCAGCACCTTGATTGCAAATTAAACTTTCTTTTGAGTCTCGCTCCTCTTATTCCCTTCTCTGTTTTTTGTCAACAGAACTCCAAGATGTCCACTCTGACTGCAGTAGTTCCAGACATTCCAGGTTTCCGTAAAATTCTTCCTCGCTCAGATTACATAATTATCCCCAAAACCACTCTCCAAGAGGACAGGAGCAGACAGCCCCTAGAACTGTGTGTGGCACAGGGCCAGACTGCATCAGAAGGAATAACAGCTTCTACCAACATCACGGGTGTCTCCCAAGATGCAGTACAAAACATCCTTTCTGTAGACTCGAGCCATGTTGGCATTTCTGAGCAGTGCATTGCCATTGAAGGACTGGCAGAAGAGTCTGCCTCATTTGGTCAGTCAGACACTATAGAAGAAATTGTTGCCTCAGAGATTCTTTCTCATTACGTCAGACCCATAGCAGATAAAGTGACTGGAGATATCCTCCTGGATGAGGCTTCTGTGGAGATGGGAGAGGGGCAGCCATATCAGACGACCAGTGTGGTAATCGAAGAGACTCTGGTTAGCAGCTCCACAGACCTCTCCAATGGGAGCATTGCTGTGGCACGACCTCAGGTTTCAGACAGTCTCTCTGTGGTAACAGTGGTGACTGGGAGGGTAAGTTAAGCTAGTAACCACTGATAACTTTATTTCTGTTAACTTGCTGCCTGCTTTTTTCCTGTAGTCTGCTCAACCAGCAGGTCAGTAGTGATGAAAGAACGTTTCATTATTAAATGAGTCTGAGAAGGCTGGGGTGTTTCCCTACCTTCCACTATTAGCCCAGGCTTCAAAAATGATTGCCCTAGGCTTTGGGATGGGTTCCATAGGGAGCATTTACACATGATAGTAATGTCACACAAAAAACTCAGGTGCAGTTGATGGCCAAATTTATTGCTCCCAGGCTCAGTTTGCTTGTGTGCCCAGGATCGCAGCATGTTGAGCCGGGGCAGAGAAGCTGCAGCTTGCAGAGGGCCCCAGAGATCAGCCTACCAGCCTAGGGCTGCTCTGACCTGGCTCAATATGCTGCAGAGGGGCTGGCTGGGGCACAAGGGTGCTTCAGTGCGAGGCTAGCCAGCAGGCTGCCCCTGCACTGGAAGCACCCTTGTGCTTCAGCCAGCCACATCACCACTGTCTACACGTGCATTTTGCCTCATGTAACTGCACTGCTGTACAACAGTACTCGTGTTGGGCAGTGCTATCCTAGAGTGGAGTTAATTTATTTACTGTGGCCTAATAGCGCTGCATGTGTAGACAGCAATGCTTTACTATAGAGCTAATTAGTCAACTCTGCAGTAAAGCATCTTGTGTAGGTGAGCCCACAGAAACACCAGAGCTTTATTTTGTGGGGTTCAAACACTTTAGTTTCCCTGTCGTGTCCTGCCCCCCGCCCCTCATTGGTTTCCTAGCTACAGAGGATTGGATGGGGATTCTTTTGAATTCTAGGGTGTTACTACTTATCTGGCAAGGCTCAGAGAGATCAAGCGGTGTCTGCCCAGGAGCTGAGTGCAGTGCTTTCGGCATGCTTGTGGCCTTTTCTAGACTGAAGAGATAGACAGTTTGATCAAATCTGCTGTGCAGCCATTGCTTCTTTGAACACGTCACTTGTACAGTGGTGCCTCTGAGCATAGCTGTGTGATGCACTCTGAAATCTTATATTGAAGGGACTCTTGATAAAAGTTTAAATACAGCAGCATGTAGCCGTTGCTTGTCGTATAGCTTTCCTTTTCATGATTTTTAGGATACGGAGGAGAGCAGCTCTTCCACGCCCCCCACACAATATATTATGCTGCCTTGGCCAGCTCATTCTGTTATGGAGAATCCGACATCAGTCAAACTGGTAAGTAAAGGAGGAGGTTTTGTTTCTCTCAGGCTTTCTTTGAACTACCATTTCTGTGATATCACTGAGCTTATCTATGTCAGTCTGTTAATGTGTGGTGGATAACACCTTCTGAGTCCTGGCCTAGACAAAGCCTTTAAGAGCTTGATCATATTCGGCTCCTTATTCCTAACAAGATACATCACACTAATTGCGATTTCCTCTAGTTGGGAGGGTCTGTATGCCCAATGCTACAGCTTCAGATAAACTTAAATGAAGTTTTATAATAAATGCATAACACAATCAGTACAGTGGCCTTTTGTGTTGTGTAACTTGGTATTCAGCTGGTGATGTGCTATGCATGTTGTAAGGGGCATGTGAACATGCTATATAACATTGTCCTGGGACAGATATGTTGCTGGACTAGCATGTGCTTCATGTTCCAGGGTATTTTTTCACACTTATAGGAGAATGAAATATATATATATTTTTTAAGTGTGAAGTTAGTTCCTGTAGGAGGGGGAGCATTTAATGACAAATTACACAGCTGTGTAATTCCTGAGCCCTTGCATTAGCCCTTAGTAACAGGGCCTAGGACTCTGAACATAAATGTTCTGTGACACTGAATATTGCTAATCTTTTTGAGGGAAAAATACTTTCTGCACATCAGTTTATGTAAAGTGTATAATATTACTTGGCTCATGGGGGTTAATTAGCTAATGTTCGTAACAGGGTTACCAGTAGAAAGTGTGTGTATTGTGGGTTATATATGTAGTTCTGTAGAGAAATTCTTGGCAATTGTTTTGTTTTAGACAACGACCTATACCCGTAGGGGGCATGGCAATTGCACCAATCCTGGCTGTTCCTTCACTTACGTCACCAGGCACAAACCTCCAAAATGCCCGACATGTGGGAACTTCCTGGGAGGGAAGTGGATCCCAAAGGTATTGTCCCACATTGTAGATAACCTTTGCTTTTTCTAGTGACTGACATTTGTGTGAATACCTATGACATCCCAAAGCTTATAGCCTTGGCAAGTCAGAGAGATGTGAAAACGAATTGCTGTCCTTTTCTTTCAAAGTCTGTGTTGGAACAAGTTGCTGGTGACCATGAGTTAGATGGAGATTTGCAATGAGCTTGTATGATATTGCTTCTACATTTTCTGCCCCTATGATGAAGATACTCTCTACACAAGTGGTATCAGTCTGAAAGAATGCGGGAAACCTTATCAGGCCCTGACCCCTTTATAGGGTTCAGTTCCCCTGCTTGTGGTCTGACTCCAGTTCTTGTAAGGTTCTCTTGTAGCACTCATCAAACTGTACACAGAATCAAATGAGTTCAGACACTCCAGGATGCAAGTTTAAGGAGGCTTAATTCATGCAAGTTTCTATCAGTCCAAAAGGCTTTGAGTCTCTCCTTAAATTGTCTTTGTTCTTCTGTTGTGTGGTAATTCACTGTGAGAGTTGGGTGCTTGTGTGCATGTGCATGCACAAGTCTATGCATTGCCAAATGCATTTTGTTTGACCAGGATTTATGGGTACTGCCTTGGTACAAAAAAGGCACCCTGCACGTTCGCAGAAAACTAAACTGAAGTACACAGTGTCAAAAGCAAACAGCTTCTGTCTGAAAGTGGTGTCTCGAGGTGACTGGAACTGAAAGACATTAGAGGGAACATGTCGTTTCTGCATTTTGACAGCATTTTTTGATTGTAAACAGCTTTGTTGTTTACAGTACAACCCTTTAAATATCTGCATCAGTAGTTCTTGTTTAAACCAGTGCAAGGAGTACAGAGTTGAAGCTGGAAGTGGAAATACACGCATCTTGCTATCTAGTGAGGAAGGGCTTTGGCCTAAATGTCTGTATCTCAGGTCTTCCTTTAAAAGATCCTTCATTGTAAACTGAGCATAAAAGCCTCTCTTTAAAGTGACTTGCATATGAACCAGCAGTATTCATAGATGCTAGGATCGGAAGGGACCTCAACAGATCGTCATTGAGTCTGACCCCCTGCCTAGGCAGGAAAGAGTGCTGGGGTCAGATTACCCCAGCCAGATGCCTATCCAGCCTTCTCTTAAAGACCCCCAAGGTAGGGGAGAGCACCACCTCTCCTGGAAGCCCATTCCAAATTTTGGCCACCCTTACCATGAAGAAGTTTTTCCTGATATCTAGCCTAAATCTGCTTTCTGTCAGTTTGTGACCGTTGTTGCTTCTTACCCCAAGAGGCGCTCTGGTGAACAGAGCATCTCTGGTCACTTGCTGCGTCCCACTAATAAATTTGTAGGTGGCCACAAGATCACCTCTCAGCCTTCTCTCACGAAGGCTGAAGAGGTCCAGGTCCCTCAGTCTAGCCCTTAACTATACGAGTGGCCCTCCTCTGGACCCTCTCAAGTCTATCAAGATCCTTCTTGAAGTACGGAGCCCAAAACTGGACACAGTACTCCAACTGCGGTCTGACCAATGCCGCATAGAGGGGAACTATCACCTCCTTGAATCTATTTGTCATGCATCTGCTGATGCATGATAGTGTGGTTAGCTTTGCTGATGATTTCGTCACACTGACTCATGTTAGTCTTGGAGTCCACTATGACTCTGAGATCCCTTTCCGCTTCTGTGCTGCTGAGAGGGTCACTGTTGTGGATGTACTGCCAGAACACTGCATTTCTTGGTGATCCTCCCTCTAACTCATGTATCACTAGCTCAGAGGGCCCAACTGTTATTTGGCCTTTGTGAAGGAAACACTTCTGACTTCATTCTGTCTAGGATAAAATATCTTTTGAGAAGTTAAAATTTCTTCTCTTGAGGAACGCTTACTTCCTGAATTCCTCAAAATGAGTCTTTCCCAAGTGATTGCAGAACTCTCACACTAGTACACATCGTTCTGGTCCAGCAAGGTTGTACGTATAAAAGCCAAACTGTACGTTCAGTTCATTTGAACGCTTAGACTGAGTTTAGAACAAGAGACTGGTTTAGAGAGTTGGAGTTGTGAAAGAAAGGGCCTTCCACTAGGAGAAAACTGTGGATGACTTATGCTATGAAGTGTAAGTAGTGCTGTGGAAATGACATGATGGGACAGCTCTAATGCTAATGAGACATTGGCTGTTTGAGGGGATATGTGTTTCTGTTTTTATATATTTGTGTATCCTCAGACTCATACCATGCTTTTAAAATCAGTGTTAAGCAGTCCTCAGACGAGATTTGAATAGAAATCATTTTCCTATGAAAGTCCGAGAGCTCTGAGGAATCTGGGTGTCCTTTTTTTTTTTATTTGTTTTCAGGAAAAGCAACCCAAAGGCAAAGCTGAGCCAAATTCTGGTGTCTCTGTCAGAACACCAGCAGCTAAACGAAATCAGCAGCCAGTAGTCACAGATCAGACAGCTGCTCGAGAAAATGCCTCCAGAGCTACTTTGGAAAGCTCTGAAGCTGTCAGCCAGCTCCTGAATGCTGTGCCTATTGGGGAACAGATGCAAGAGACTGAGTGGGAGGAAGTGATCATCTCTGAGGCTCACATCCTTGCAAACAATGTGCAAGCTGAAGACAGAGGGAATGCTGCTGCTGTGTCGTTGGCTCAGGAGAGCCATGTGCAGGGGGATGCTTCCTTAGAACAGGTGGAAAAAGACAGTGCGGGGCTGGGGCTTCAACCATCCTCCGAGGTTACAAGTTCAGCTAACCCTGCAAAGAAGCCAGTGGGGTGAGTCAGTTCCAGATAACTTATAGAGGTGTTGGTCTGTTACATGTGGCAGCACTGGCAGTACTAATCCAGTGAAATATGTGAGCTTTTGCCAACATCCTTGGTAAGACCTGCTCTGTCCTGCCCCGTCCCCTGCCAGTATGGGGTTTCCCTTGGAGATGTTATTCTGTGAGTCAAAGCCAGCTTGCATGATAAAGTGAATTACTGGGATAAATCTGAGGCCAGATTTGTTCTTTAATTCCCCACCCCTGCACAGTGTGGTGGGTACTGATTGTGCTTCCTTCTGGCCTGCTGCCTGCTTGCACTGCACTAATGTGTGTACGTTGTGTAACATTCATTGCAGCTGCTGCTCTTGTCTTTTAGAGTTGATGCTCCTGCTACTGTACACAAAGGACAAGAACTAAAGATCAAGCCAAGACCCAAACCCTCCTTGCTTGCAGCAGCAAGACCCATGAGAGCAATCCTACCTGCCCCTGCCAGCCTGGGGAGGGAAGCCAGCACAGAGCCTCCCAGCACCAGACAGGCCTTTCCAAATAATGGTAAGAGCAAGAAACAATCCATAATGTTCTTTGAAAGAAGTAGAGGCTTCTGAAATGTGGGCATAAGGAGGCAAATGATGCATAGTAAGTGTCTTGATGTTGCAGTGTTCTGAGGAAACTTGAATTCCAGTACTTGTCTGAATCACCAGTTATATATTGCTCACTGGTTTGTATTGTAGTGTCTAGCAGATACTTTATACAATCAGCCTTCAATAATGGAGCAGCTTCTTGCCATTTGAGGTTGTAAGCTGCAAACTTCCAAAAGCTGCTTTGGTCGTTTTGGGTTCAAAAAACAGCAGGTCCCATTTGTCTCATACCTACATTTGCACAAGCTGCTAGGATAGAACTAAAATCCTGGTAAAGATGCATCTTGCACATCTAACCTACTGTGTTCATCTCTTTTTCAAGATAAGCTTTCCCCTGTGAGAACCTCAGGCCTGAAGCCCAGTACACTGAAGCAGCTGGGTCAGCCTGTCCTCCAGGCAACTAGTGTTGAGGAGCGAAAGGTAAGAGTGTTGCTTGCTTTTTTTAATGTGTATGCTCTCTGCATTGGATTGAATTGGCTGGGTACAAGGTAGGATTTCCAAAAGGACCTGAGTGTTGAGGAAATCTAGTAACATCTTGGAGCTGGGATCTGTGACTAGTGCCACTTAGCTTTTGGTCTCTCTGGGGCAGAATAGGCTAGTGGCCTGAACACAAGACTTCTGAGCTAGGAAGTGGTGAATTCTGTTCATCTGTCTTGGAATTTTTCTTCATATTACTGGTTTAACACCTCACTAGTTACCTCATAGGAACATTTTGAGGATCTCTTAGTGCTTGAGGGTGATGTGTGATAAGTACTGAGTGGTGTTCTTGCATTTGTTCTGTGAAAGTGCTGCATAGCTAGTGATATATGTAAAGATGTTGGAGTAATTCTAGTTTAAATTAACACTGTAGTGTACAAGCAGCCTGCTAAAATACAGCCTGGTTTCATTTTAATGTCTTAATAGTTCTTGTTTGTGAGTGAGTGACTTGTGCATCCAGTACCAGATTTCTCAAATGTGTTTTCATCTTTTATGTTCAATCTTACAGCTCCACAGTAGCCCAATCAGTGGGTCATCTCAGGTGAAAGTAGTGGAGGTTAAACCAGACTTATTCCCTTCCTACAAGTATAGCTGCACTGTGACTTTGGTAAGTGTCTTTGACAGTCTGTGGGAACACCAGTGAGCCTCTTGAGAAGTCGCAAGAGTCTTCAAAGGCAGTTGCTTTCATCTTCATCATTAGCTCTTTGGCTCTGATAATTACAAGTTTGAAAAGCAATTGTAGGTGTTCAAGAAATCACTTCTATATGTGGTCTCCTTTGAAGGTACAGCTTGGAATTTGGTGCGCTCTCATTTTGAAGCAAGTACTGTGTTGATGAAATAAGGTGCCCTAACAGCTTTGAAGTTTCCTGTCTAAAGCTTAGGGAATGATAGGGCAGACTCCTTGTCTTATGTATGGTCTGTGTCTTGAAGGCCACCATTAGCAGGGATCAGGTAGGTCAGTCTCAGTATTGGAATAATAGTGTCCTTGAGAGTGCCTGTTATAGTGGTAGGTTTTGTGAGGTGGATGTGCATCAAGTAGGGATTGGAATGAGAGGTCAGATCCAGCTCATAGTCATGAGTTACATTGGCTTCCAAGAAGAATGATTTTGATGGTCTGGTAAAGTGAATTACTGGGATAAATCTGAGGCTAGATTTGTTCTTTAATTTCCCACCCCCACACAGTACAGTGAACTAGTGCCAGAAAAACAAAGGACTTGTCATATTCCGAGTACTCTGAGTTACATGGTCGTTTATGATTTGATTTCTCAGTTGGGTAGCTCCTCTTTTTTTTTTTCTATAGGGTAGCTCTAATTTGAGGCCTTTAACACTTTCTGGCTTGTTTCTCCACTTGTGTGAGTGAGTCACCTCATGCATTGTATGTCTTCCATTGCTACCTACGCACTGAACCAGAACATTTTAGTGTTTTGATGAAATCCTGTTAGATACTTTATGTCCTAACATAACCTTAATCCCTTTCTGGCATTAGTATGAGAGGGTTAAATAGGACTATTTCTGAATTTCTTTCCCCTGCCAAGTGACCATCAAATCAAGCCTAAGGTCTATAGATTAATTGAACTGTTTTAATGTAAGTAGCCAAGCCTGCTTAAACCTTATAAACTACTGTTTGAGATTTGGGGGGCGCATCTTGAGAAAAGAGATGACAGTTTACTGTCAGGGGTCACATTCCTTCTGTGTCCTTCCAGGATTTGGGACTAGCAACCTCACGTGGCAGAGGGAAGTGCAAGAACCCATCCTGTAGTTATGTATACACGAACAGGCACAAGCCACGTATCTGTCCCAGCTGCGGCTACAACCTTGCCAAGGACAGAGCTGAGAAAACAGTGAAATCCCTGGTGAGTTGTTGTCTTTCATGCTGAATTGAATAGATTGCCCTGGGGTTTGCTGCAGTCTCTTGAGTCTCTGTGGGTGTGGAGAACTGATTGCCACTGCAATATCTTGGTGTCTTCTAGTGCAGCATTTTTCAACCTGTGGATCGCAACCCAAAAGGGGGTCCCAAAAATATATAAAAGGGTTGCAAACAAACTTTAAAAATGGATTCTCCTTTAAAGGAGAAAAATGTGGGTTACCATGGCTTTTTCCCTTGCAGGGTATCAGAGTTCCAGCCTGCAAGGAGCTGCTTGGTGCCCCCTATGCCCTACACAGTACGGGGCTGGGGCATGGGGGCAGGGGACAGCAGGCTGGGAGTGAGGGAACTGGGTCAGGACTGGCCATCGATGTTTACGAATGAGTCCTGGTACAAAAAAGGCTGAAGACCACTGTTCTAGTAAAGTAAATCATCAAAAAAATTGGGGAGGGTGATTGGAACACTCTTAATTTTGACTGTAGTGAATATTTTTGAATTGGGGGAATCAGTGTTTGTTTTGTTGTTTTGTCCCCCCCCCGTAAGGTTAAGGAAGAAACATCTTGATGATTACAGTATTTTAGTGTTTTCAGGCAGCTTATTGATCTTCACACTTTCACAGGGGTGCTTTTTCACTTTGAACGAAACTGCAATTTCCAGTATTTTTCCTGAGGAAATGCTGAAGTTAATTTTGATGACTCCTGTTGGAGGCTATTTTACCATCCTAGTGACTGTACTCTATTCTATTCAGATTGATAGTGATCACTTTTACCACTGGGTGCCTCTACATTTTTAACTCCTCCACCCGTTTTTCAGGGAAAGGACGCGTAGGAGAAACCCCTCCACCTCTCACCTTGACACTGCCTCTCTGATTTTGAGGTGAAAATTCCCAGCGAGTCTTAGCAAATGTCAATTCACTGTGTCTATTGTGAACAGCATCATCCTGTTTTCAGTGGCTTTTGACTCTCACTCCCACTCTGACCTGTTGGCAGACGGAGGCTCGGACTGGTTTTATTTCATCCTGTGAAAATTTTCACAACTGTCTTAGCTGCTTTTCATCTAATTTGCAATAGATTGCATAGAATGAAAATAACAAAACCTGTTATTTTATGACACTTGCTGTTTGCCTCTGAGCCAAAATCTACATTTTACAAAAGAAGTTTTGAACTTCATCTCTGTGGGTTGTTGCTTGTGCTGAATTGGTTTGGACTTTTAAGAGGTTTTCCCCATGACTGGCATGCTCACTCAGCATGTAAGCTGGCTACATTCTAATTTGTGCATTTGATTTGAATCTTCCAGCTGCAATTTATTTTGAAGAACAAAATTGTTTTGCTTGTTGTATAAAACAAAAAACCCCTGCACTCAAATAATACCATGTGAAACCCACACATACACAGATGCCTAAGGAACCTTACTTTCCTTTTATCTGCTTCCTTAATACAGTATGCTGGTCTTGCATTTTGAGAGAGAGCATGTGTGTCCTGTTTCTTCCTCCTTTTTGGGTTTTTTTCTGGACTTCTTTTTTTTTTTAGCCTTAGTATTCCTAATGCACACTTTGTGCAGGAATCAATGCTATTTACAGTGCCCTTGGATAGGCCATTTATCTCATCACTGGACTAGACAGAAAACAAGCTGAAACGCTGGCCAGGATGGTTTGTTTTACTGATTAAGTGGATTAGTCTGTTACTGTCTCTGCTTTGTTGAGCCCCATAGTGCTGAATTCCTCCATGATTCAATTTGGTTCTTGTGGGAGACTGGCCACTAGTGCTCAGATGAACCAGACTCCTGTATTTTATATTTATTTTTGTATATTTGGTACTATGCAGTACACCTGTAGCTTTCTCTTACTTGGTTGCTTATTTCCTCCCTGTTTTTTATCTTTTATAGACTGTCTAGGATGATTGAACATGTTGGAAAATTTGCACCATAGCCTGCAGCTTAAGGAAATTGTGTTTAGCAGGAATGTTAAGGGTGCGTGTACTTTTGCAGCCCTTGCCTTGCCACTGTTTATACTTGTTAAGCTATGGTAGCTTGTACAGTTGTCGTGCTCTACCTGTGTATAGCAGTTCTAGTGAAGTGTTAAATGAGCCAATCACAAGTTTCAGAGAGAGCATGTTGCCTGGGTACGAGACTGACATAGATTATGTTCCAGTCTAACCTAAATTGATTCTTCTGCTTGGATAGTATATTTACATGTGTCTCGGATCTACTGTTAGGCTCCAGGAAACTTAATGCTGTATTCCTCTGAATAGGAAGCCTGAGTATTTTGGCTTTTTGTAGGAGGTGAACTCTGGTCCCCCTGATGTGCTGAACACTAGTGAGCCCTTAACTCAGGCCCAGAAAGAGATCCAGCGCCAGTCCACACTGCAGCTGCTGCGCAAGGTAATGCAGATCCCGGAGAACGAATCAGAACTGGCTGAGGTCTTCACACTCATCCATGAACTCAACAGCTCGCGGCTCATCCTGTCCAACGTGAGTGAGGAGACGGTCACCATAGAACAGACCTCCTGGTCAAACTACTATGAGTCTCCATCTACGCAGTGCCTCCTCTGTAACAGCCCATTATTCAAAGGGGGACAGAAGTAAGATCCTGTTTTAGATTTGACTTTCATCAACAAACTGATGTTCTGTGTTTATAAATGTGTCTGAAGTAATGCTGCTTTATCCCCTTGATATCAAAGCCAGGGTAAACATTTTCATTTTAACTTGCATCTCTGATGGAGCTTAGGGTTTTGTGTGAGATGTTCTTTAGTATGTCCGGGTGGCAATTACAATCTCTCACATCTAGGGTTTGCTTTTGTATAGCAGGAAAGCTTCACTGGTGAGTGTCCAACAGGTTTCAGCTCTGGATTTGACACTGACTCTGTTCCTCATTTTCTCTTCCTGATGATTTGCAGTGTATAATGAGTCTGAAAGATCCAGTAGTGTAAAATGGCAGGATTGTAGATGTGCTGTGGTAACTTGATGCTTTTCCCAGTCTCACTTCTTTGCCAGAGTGCTTGCTGTATGTGACCTGTTTATTTTTAATGGCTTGTGCATTGAGTGTCAGCCTGCATATGATTCCAACCCTCTTCAGAACTTGGGCTGAGAATCTTGGAGTTTCTTTTCTCTGAGCATTGAATCACTTGCTTTCCCGTTTCCTAAGCTAGTACCAGGCAGGTTTGTATACCTGGTGGATAAGTTTTTTCCTGCTTGTTCATTACAGTTCCCTGGCTGGCCCTCAGGAGTGCTGGTTGCTGACTGTTAACCGGTTACAGGTGGTTACTGCTCAGGTCAAGGTGTGTTTGAATCTGCAGTGCCTGGCCCTGCATAGCTTCACTGATATCTACACAGGTAGGAAAAATGATCGGTAGATTACTTTATAGAGACACCAACCTGCATAAGCTGGGGACTGAGGCAAAGTCCTTTTTTGAACCAAAGTGTTCTTCTCCCTACCTTGTCAGACTCTTTCTTTGACCGAGACTTGTACTGCTTATCCTCCTAGTTGACAGATGTGTGCGAATCACTAAGTGGAGAATGCCCCACCTAACTGGACCAACCCTGTCTAGAAAAGAGTGATTGACTCTGTTCTGTGTTGTACACAAAATCACTGAAATATGTGGGATATGGAGCTGTAGGCTGTGGGCTGAGGAGATGGACAGTCAGTGTTCATTGCAGGTTTTCTATACAAGGTGCAGAGCTGGATTGACTTTCGTGCTGCTTCCTTTCCAGCTGTGTCTTTAAATTTAAGAAAACTCTCCAGAAGCTCTTTAGCCATGTTCTATCTGACCCTCTAATCAAGCTTGGGTGGTTTGTTTGCTTAGCAGTAAATGAGAAGTGTTGCATTTTACACTGTTTGTGGGTTTCCAAATCTTGTTGTGGTGTTTAATTGCAGGCCTCTTCAATGTGGGCAACAAGCTGTTAGTGAGCCTGGACCTTCTGTTCACAATCCGCAACCACATTAAACTTGGAGAGGATCCCAAAGTGGCAGTTAGCAGTATCCTGGAGTCCGTGCAGGAGCAGACCGGTAGGGTTTTTCTCCTTCAGTTATTCTGACCTGGCTGCTTTCACTGGGAACTTGGGGGAGCTGGAATCTTAATACAATAATAATATCAGATGGGAAAAGTTGGTGAACTCTAGATTGGAAGGAGAGAGCTCAGCACTCCTTGGGTTAGGTTTCTCTTGGGCTTTGGTTTTGGTAAAAAGCTCTACTCTGCATTTATAAAGGTAGAGTTCTCTCTGTCTATATACAAACCAATGGATTTATCTGTAACTGTAGTTAATGTAAGAAACATTAATGCTTGTGGCTTGGTAACTCGCATCTTCTGTATCAGAGAGAACTGTTTCTTCTTGGGAACTTCATCCCCACCTTCTAAGCATTGTAGGGAATTCCTTCTCCTTTCAGTGACAGTTGGTAGGTCAGCAGCAGAATGCAGTTATTTTGTGAATTGGCCTCACTTGACCAAGAGCAGCAAGAATAATGAGCAGGGGAGCTCATACAGGAGGTCTGGATTCCTACTTCAAACAGAAGAACCAGGCATCCAATGTAGAGACTTAGTAGTATGGTGAAGCTAGGCTGACAAGGGAGCTGGGTTCCAGTCAGGCTGTAAAGATAATCCCCATTGCCTGTGGAGACAGAGCACAAAGAACAGCTATTGAACATTATATGCTGAGAAAATGAAGGCAATGAGGCACCAGAGAACAGCCTAAGAACCAGGAATGTCGTGGGTATTTAAATATTAATAGTGTATTCTTTCTGAATATCCACCTGCTCAATCTTTGGTAGAAAATGAGCATATTCCATTAATGTCCTCCCCTCCAGACAATGAAGCTTGTACCTCGTGGCTTCATAAAGAAGTGTGTTTAGCTAGGAGTCTCTTTTGATTAGTGCCAACAATTTTCATTTAAAAATTATTTCCGGGGGACTTTGAGTGATTTTAAAATGATTGAGGAACAGAAGGTCTAGTTGCAACATATCCTTGTTGGTCAGGCTGAGTGTTTGAAGCTTAATTTCTATAGCTATTCTGCTTTCAGAGGAGCCCTGTCCAACTTTTTCTTGAGGCTTTTTCCTTACTGGGGACTTCAGCATTGGACAGTCCAAAGGGTGGAAAGGAGATTTTAAGTTATGTTGGTGTCTCCAACTATTTCAAGGCTTCTCCTTGAAAATTGCTCCATTAGATCATGACTTGTCTATTTTATAGAAACCTTTTCATCTTTGGGGCTTTGAAATAGCCTTGTCTTCTTTATTATTGAAACAGCAAGCAGTTCACTGAACAATTTTGTACAAATTTCAGCAAGAAATCTGTGGAGGATGGTGCTTGTTCTGAGCAGTAGCTCTGATGGTGGCTAGTTTTGCTAACTTTCCCTATCCTTTTGGAGGTGAAGCCTCTGTGAATGCAGTTTGACTCAACAGTGCAAGTGGCTTTAAATAAAGCATTCTTTTCTTTCCAGAAAAAACTCTGAGCCCTGATGAGCTGAGTCAACTCCAGGAGTTGCTGTGCAATGGCTATTGGGCATTTGAATGCCTCACTGTCCGGGACTACAACGATATGATCTGTGGAATTTGTGGCATTGCGCCCAAGGTGGAGATAGCTCAGAGAAATGAGGAAAATGTCCTGGCGCTGAAAAACGTTGAGGTATGTTGAGACAGTCTTCTCTTCTACTAGCACTTCAGACTGTATTTGAGGGTTTTTCCGCTAATCCTGATTTTAGTAACTTGTGAGGGTTATGTGTGCTTTTCTCCAGCTGATATCTCACAACCTGGCTCACTCACTCATTCCCCCTCTGAGTGGAACTCCCAGATCATAATCCTCTTGCTCTTGACTTGGAAGCATCTTCCCTTAATGGCAATTTCTCTGAGGTGTCATAGTATCCTTCCCTAATCCAGAAGGAGGTGGTATGCTGCATTCCCTGTTCTCTAGCTGATTAATCTACAATCTGTCATCTCCCACTTCTATGAGAAGCAAGCCTGGATGTTTTGATTAGCCCAGGGCAGAAAAAGGAGCCACGGTGTCTGCTTGGTTTGTTGGGCTGAGCAGTGTCCGTGTTGGCCTTCCATCTCTTTTTCAAATCAAAGCGGATTCAGAGCTGTCAAAGCCAAGCAGCTTTTGACCTATATGTTTTCTTCCCCTGGTAGTTTACCTGGCCAGAATTCTTATCATCTAGTGAGGTCAATGTGGAAGACTTCTGGTCCACGATGGAGACGGAAGTGATAGAGCAGGTGGCGTTTCCTTCTAGCATCCCGATCACCAAGTTTGATGCCTCTATTGTTGCTCCTTTCTTCCCACCGCTGATGAGAGGGGCGGTGGTTGTCAATACTGAGAAGGACAAGAACCTTGATGCCCAGCCAGTGCCAGGTAACTCACTCAATCAGCTGGAGGCCCCTGGGTGCTTTCAGCAGTGGTGATGCACTTCTTTTTCTGTCAATGACTCTCTTGGAGAGAATTGTGAAACAGTAGTTCTTAAAAAGAGATGCTTTAGATCTTCCAGTCCTCAGTGGGGCCTTAGTTTAGCTTCTGGTATTTTTGATTATGAATGCCATGCTTGGACTTGGGTCTGCCACATGGAATTTTAATGTCTGCCTGGGATCTGATGGACTCAGGATGCCGTTAAAGCTGAGGAAATGCTCTGTATCCCAAGTACCGTTCCCTGTTGAGGATTTCATGTGGGCAGTAACCACCTGGGGCTTATGAACTTAAGTTTTCTGTGTTCTCTATCTTGAAAACTGGTATTTTACAGCTTCAGATGGTTCTTGTGGCTATGCCATTTTTGAGATGCTAACGGAGGTGTAAGAGGTCTGTAACGGACTT